CCGGGGGGCCGGCGGCCAGCCCAGCCGTGCGGCGGCTGTCCCGCTGCCGGCGTCCTCAGAGGCTTTGCTTCCTGTCTCCCTGGTCTGCTGGTCTCCAGCAGACCAGGGAGACGGGCAGCAAACCCCGTTCGTAACTGCGGATCCGACATAAGTCGGATCCACGTAACTCGGGGACTGCCTGTATATCAGAGAAAACAGAGAAACATTCAGGAGTCTGAGAGTATGGGGTCTTACCCATAACTAACCCAAAGAATTAAATGCTTCCTTACCTGTTGTTGTGTTATTTGGTGATGCAGTTTCATTGTGCGCTGAAGCTTCAACAAGTAGAAAACTAATACAAATAATCAAGAATGAATTGGACTGTTCCATGATGGTTCTGCAAAGCAAAGATAATATGGAAACAAATTTTAAAGGCAAATTATTAATTTTTTCCCTCTTAAAGCATGGTAAAAAAAATCATTCCTGATCTACAATAGATTTAAAACATGTTTTATTCTCTCCTGTTGTCCTGTTTAATATTAATCTATGATGGAGGAGGAAAAAACAATCAAGCACATATATTAAATTAGAAATTATTTAAAAATATTTCAACCAAAGAATTATTAGCTAATATTCAAAATTACAAAGACATTTGCTACCCCATAATCAGACATAAAAAGCTACTGTACTACGAAGCACAGACCCTGTAAGCAAAGGATTGCACAGATCCTCAGGATCTCAGCAGACAAAAGCATAACAAGAACCAATGGCTAGAAGCTGAAGCTAGACTAAGTCAGAAGAAAAAAAACAAATGTTTAACAGAGGGGATGTTTAACCCCTAGAGCAAACTACCATGGGAAATGGTGGAGTCTCCATCTCATAATGCCATCTAATCCAGACTGGATGTCTTTCAGAGTAGATATATTTGAGTCAAACATGAGCTATTGAACTAAATACACATGTAAATGGCAAAAATTTAATAGTGTATGTTATATATGAGGTCAAACTACATGATCTAATGGCTTGTAGGGGGCAGTCATCCTGCTCTAGGTGAAACAAGTGTTAAACCCAGCCCTGGGAGAGAGCTGAGACTATGGAGCCAGCAGCTTAGGTACATAGCAGTACATTCAGGACCAGCTGGGGTAGTATAAATAAAGGCTCCTGGAATGCAGATGAGCACACACTTGCTCCAGCTGTGCAGAAGGAGGGATCAGGCTGTCAAGGAAACTACAGAGGCTTCCTGAGATTGAGCAGTGCTGGGGAGGGGAGGCGAAGCTGGGGAACTGGCCTGATTCCACTCCCAGGCTACAGGGACTGAGACAAGGCCTGAGGATACTAGGGGTGCAGGAAGGCAGCAGGATCAGCCCCTTGCCAATGATGAGTGACCATTTCAGATTGCACTTTGCCCCTGAGGCCAAGATGAGATGACACTGGCAGTGGTTCACTGAGACAAGGTGGGTATAGGAGAGGGCATGGGCACTGCCATAGGATATAGTACCATGAGGAAAGGGCACAGTCAACCAGTGAAAGAGATGGGTAACTGAGGCTACGTCTAGACTGCAAGCTTATTTCGAAAGAGCGTGTCCAGATGCCAAAAGCGCAACGAAAAAGGGATGTGCTTTTTTGAAAGATAGCGTCTGCATTTATTGGACGCTCTCTCACATTTAAGGCCACCCGGAACCAGTTCAGGCAGGGCATTAGGTCAGCAGTTGCTTTTGGGTTCTGTTGCCTAAGGCTAGCTGAGACGCGGCCTTAAAGGGACCCCCCTGGACAGCCATTTCTCTGCTTCTGCTGCGTGCTTGCCTACTTCTCCGAGGGACAGAAAACCTTTTGCAGTGTATGCTCCGGTTGCCCAGCTTTTGGACACCACTGCATACTCCTTGCCATGGAGTTGGAGCTGCCTCTGGGCATGTCAATGCCCCACACTGCCATGCTGCAGTTTCTGTGGCAGTTTGTGTACGCTGCCTTTCTGGCCCTGCAGGAGCTCGATACCGAGCTCATCGAGACCAATTCCCTGTGTGTGGGAGCAAGGCCCTTGCAACCGCACCCCACAGTAAAGAGCAGGTTCTGGAGACTGGACACCAGTTCCAACTGGTGGGATGACCAGCAGTGGTTCCAAAACTTCTGAATGAGGAAGGCCACCTTTATGGAGCTGTGTGCCTGGAATGCACCTGCCCTCCATCAATGGGACACCCAGATGCAACCCGCCATCCCCCTGAAGAAGCGGGTCACCATCACTGCCACCCCAGACGGCTACCGGTTGATGGGCAACTGGTTCAGTGTGGGAAAGTCTACTGTCGGGGCCCTCCTCATGGAGGTAAGGCACTCTCAGCCTGTAGTCCCTGGAAGGGGGCAAGTACTGGAAAGGGGGACCCAAGAGAAAGGGGCAGGGCAGTGTGGGGGCTGTGCTGGGGGTGAAGCCCCATCCCCGGGGAGTTTTGCAGACCTGTCCTCACACAGTCCAAGGGGGGGCCTCATGGGGTGGCTCCTGGGGTGTTGAGGAGGGAAGAAGCGGGGGCCTCATGGACCTCCCAATGGCTCAGGCACCCCTTCTCATTCTCTGTTTTGTGTGTTTCTTTGTCTCCTTCTGCAGGTGACGAGAGCCATCAACTCTTTCCTGCTGTGCAGGGTCATCCACCTGAGAGACCTGGACCACATCATGGCCGATTTGCTACCCTAGGCTTCCCCGACTGTGGGGGAGCCATAGATGGAACTCATATTCCTATCCAAGCACCACAACATTGAGCTGCCCAATACATCAACTACAAGGGCTATTTCTCAATGGTGCTGCAGGCCCTGGTTCAGTTCATGGACATTTTCGTTTGGGATGGTGCATGACACCTGCATTTTCAGAAACTCCAGCCTCTACCACAAGCTGGAGGCTGGCACATTCTTCCTCTAGTGTGACTTTCAGGTTGGGGAATTGCAGATGCCACTGTACATCATGGGGTACACCGCCTACCCCCTCATGTCATGGCTGATGAAGCTGTATATGGGCCACCTGGACCCCAGCAGGGGCCAATTCAATACCCGCCTAAGCAGGGCCCACATCCAGGTGGAATGAGCCTTCTGGGGCCTGAAGATGTGGGGGAGCACAACCTGGCCAGCAGAAGGTGGTCCAAAGTTGAAGAAGAACTAATTCCCATGGAAACCAGCAGGAGGCACTGCAGCAGTGAGTCCTGACCTGTTGCATCGTCTCTTTTGGCATTAAGCTCTTATTCAAACTACCGAGCAATTCTTACAATAGTCCTGATATTTTTCACTGGTGAGCTAAACCAGTGGTGCGCAACCTTTTTTCATTTGCGAGCCCCACAGGGGCCGCTGAATTTGCTTAAGCAAATTAAGTAAAAAAGCGGACCCTTTAATTGTCGGGCCACTCTCCTGCCATTCCCCTACCCCCACGTGTACATCTGGTGCCGAGCCAGGAAGCCAGGAAAAGTGGCCAGCCGGATCCAAGCGCTGTGACCTCCCACGTGTTGCGCACACCTGAGCTAAATAAAGTGGTGAATAAGTGAATGGATCTGTCTGCCAAAGCCATTCTATCTGTCTAAGGCAGTGTTTCTCAATGTGGTCCAGAAACCACTTTGAGAAAGCTACTAACTGGCTGGGCTGGTGTGTTTGTTTACTGACACTGTGGCCATGGAACCTTGTGGCTCTCATTGGCTCAGTTTCGCTGTTTGCAGCCAACAGGAGCTACAAGAAGTGGCAGCAAAATGGCAAAACCAGAGCCAATGGGAACCATGAGGCTCCGTGGCCGCAATGTCGGTAAACAAACACACCAGTGCAGCCAGTTAGCAGCTTTCTAAAAGTGGTTCGTGGGCCACTTTGAGAAACACTGGTCTAAAGATTTCCCCAGAGTAGGAGAATCCTAGAGCACCTCATATCCCTTTGCATATAGAGCATAGCCAGCAGTAAGGCAATGTGCCTCTTGTCCCAGTCATTGAGGGGAGCCAAACTGCCCTTTGAGTGTGGGTTGCTGGTACAATGTTGAGCAAACCAAAACAATCACCGTGGAACAGGTGGATTTAGTTTCAAAAGTGACATCTTCTACATGATAAGGATGTTATATTGTGGTTAATTGACTAGTCCACTAGTCAATGGTATTTCCATCGACTACTCAATAGGCACTTCTGCGTTCTTCCTTTGAAATGTACAAGAGCCCCCGCTGGAGCTCTTGTACATTTCAAAGGAGGAATGAGGAACTCCGTGTGCAACCCGGGGCCAGCAGGAAATCCTGCTGACTCTGGGCTGCACCAGGCATGCCTGCTTTGAAATGTACAAGAGTCTCCAGTGGGGGCTCTTGTGTATTTCAAAGCCATGGAGCCCAGGATTAGTGGGGGAGTCTCCAGTGGGGGCTCTTGTGTATTTCAAAGCCATAGAGCCCAGGATTAGTGGGGTACTAAGTCTCTCACTGACCCTGGGCTCCATGCTGTACTGAGGAGTCCGAGGTCAGCTGGGGACTCCCAAAATAAAATGCCACGTGGAGCCTGGGATCAACCGAGGACTCCCCAGCTGACCCCGGGCTCCATGGCACTGCCCCTTTGAATGCCGCTTTGGCGTATCAAAGGGGCAGCACCACATAGCTGTGCAGTACTGCCACTTTGAAGTACCCCTACTTCTCCCTCTTTGTGATAGAGGCAGCAAGCGGGAGGGGGAGAATGGAATCGACTAGTCCTTAATACCCTTACTACATGATGCAAACTTACACATACACTTTTTCCCAGAGTAGTCTGAAACAGGGTCATTATCAAAGTAAACTGTGTTCCTCTCCCCGTGAAGCCAAAGGACTTGCAAAGATCAAGAACTGCACTTGTAGTGTTCAATTTATTGGTTAACTATGAAACTGGTTGACACATCTATAAAAGTAATAGCTCCATTTGCTTAGCTTTATATTAAGTTTAAGAATATTTTCCTTTTGAAAATGTACAGTTGTAAAATAACAGTAGAAACTATCAGCTTTAAAATAAGTTAACTGAGGACTTTCAAAGAAAGAAGTTCAGATTTATTGGCACCAGAAAAAACGATTACAGTGAATTGGTGAGTAAGAAGTACGAGAACTTCCTGTTTCTCTGAAGATGAGACACAAATTCAGGAAAAAGAAACTTACTGGCAGAAGGATATAAGTACATAGCTCAAGGTCTAGGACTGTGACCAATAATTACAACATCAGCTGTGAGTGTTATCTGGACTCTGGAAAAATTTTCAATTAAAACAGTATTAGAGTTCAGGTAGCTTTTTTCTTTAGCATTCTCTGTTTATCGATAATCTCACTTACAGCATAAGATGAAACCCTAAAATTATTCTATTATCAACCAGTCTCAGAATCCAAGCTTAAAAAAAGAACAACCCATTGTGACAGGGCGAGGCAGCCCCGCACTGAACCTACAGGTGCCAGCC